TTGTCGTTGCAAACTGTAGTTCCTGTCATTAGCAGAAGAGCCTCAAATGAGAATCACCTCTGGATAAGATAGCCCCGAGTTAGGCTTTGGTAAATGTGATGATGGGAGCAGGGAGTAGGAAGCAGTGTCACCCAGGACCCTTCCTGCCTGGCACCCTGGACATGATCATATCCCATCTTCCAAGGAGCCATAGCAGTCTCCCCAGGTGACTGCTGGGTGCTTTGTAGCAACTGAAGCTTGGCTTCCTACCTAGCCTCTGCTGCTGGCTGTGCTGCGTTCTGCTGGCCACCTCGCTGAAGGCAGTGAGCTCTGAGCCCAGGACCACTGCTGAGCACAACACCCAGGGAGAGTCCAAAGAAACATTCCCAAATCAAAGAAACAACTTCCTGTGACCGTGTTTAGTGGTCTTTTTAAAACTGCTGTATGGTGACTTATCCGTATTTCTTTTCTTTCCATCTATCTATTTTGTTTTTTTGAGACAGAGTTTCTCTGTGTAGCCTTGGTTGACCTGGAACTCAACCATGCTGGCCTTGAACTCAGAGATCCACCTGCTTTTGCTTCCTGCATGCTGGGACTAAAGAGTGTGCCACCCCCTCTCCCAGCTCATATCCATATTTCTTTTTTTTAATATTTATTTATTATGTATACAATATTCTATCTGTGTGCATGTCTGCAGACGAGAAGAGGGCACCAGACCTCATTACAGATGGTTGTGAGCCACCATGTGGTTGCCGGGAATTGAACTCAGAACCTTTGGAAGAGCAGGCAATGCTCTTAACCACTGAGCCATCTCTCCAGCCCCTCATATCCATATTTCTAAGAGCATCTAAAACCTAGCCATCCTGAGCATGTTTGATGCAGGGATGACCTGCAGCAGCACAGTGAGTCTGTTTATTATCATTGCAGCTATCTTGCTGCCATACATGCTGGATCAGAGCTGGCCTGTGCTCCAGCTCTCACTACTGACTACTGATATGCAGGCTGCCCCTCACACCCTAGCTGCCTGGCCACCAAGGCAGCACAGGCTCCATCCCCTGGCACTTTTTTATGCCAGTACTAACATAGAAAGAAAGTGTCACTGGAGCCTGACCAGCATAGGGTAGCTCTGCCTTTAATGAATTGGCTACAAGCAAACGTAGATGGTTTCCCATCAGCCTCCACCATCTTTACTACAAAAACCAGTATTCTTATGAGCATTTCTTTTCAGAAGAGGCGACTGCTGCTTCCATCTTTTTTACCTGACAGTTAGGGCTTTGCTGTCTGCATCCATCCCTGGCTTATGTTACCTGCCCAGCACCCGCACCAGCACCATACAATGCTCGGTGGAGGAAACCCCTGAGCAGATCAGGACACATAGGTGAACATCACCGCCCAGACCCTCAAGTGCCCCTTGCGGCACTGCCGACCCTGGAGCCAGCGCCTCTCTCCTGGTGCTCGTTTACCTGGCACCACTCTGTTTCCAGACAGGAGCCCTGAGTGTTCTAGAATCCTCAACCCAAACAGCCTTTCTCAGGCTATAAATACAAATTCCTGCTGCACAGGGATCTCAGAAACAAAACCAAGCACTCCCCAGATCCAAAAATAGACATCAGGCTGCCTTGGGGCGGGTGACTGTGCGATGGCCATCTGTGCCCTTCTGCCAGTGCTGGGGATGAACATGATCCTGAAGGGCCTGACAGAAGCAGGGCCTGTGGAAACAGTGTGATGCTGAGCCCAGCCCCCCAGCACAGTTCTGGAATCCAGAGAGCCACCCAGAGCAGCCCAGGGCCAACAGTGCTTTGTGGTGATTGGAGAGGCTTCTCTGGCACGTCCCGCCCTTGGAAAGGTACTTCTCAAGCTTGGCTCTTGTCCCAGCGTGACTGCATAACTGGAATGCCTGAGCAGTTTAGGAGCAGGGGCTGACAAGGAGGGAGACGTCCAGATCCCTTTGTCCTAGAGACTCAGCCTGCTCCTGCCCCTTCTTTTCTATTGACCCATCCCCACTCACTGCAGGACTGCTGCCACGGGCCTGGCGATGTTCTAGATATCTTAATTATTAATAAAATCAGCCAATGTGTGATATACCTATGACCCCAGCTAATTCGGAGGTTGAGGGTAGAGGATTGTAAGTTCCAACCCAGCCTGAGCAACATATCAAGGGATCCTTTCTCAGAAAACAAAAATGGAGCCGAGCAGTGGTGGCACAAATCTCTAATCCCAGCTCTCTGGTCTACAGAATGAGTTCCAGGACAGGCTCCAAAGCCACACAAACCCTGTCTCCAAAAAAAAAAAAAATAAATGAATGAATGAATGAATAAGAAAAAATGTTAAAAAGCTGGAGAGATGGCTCAGCAGTTAAGAGTACTTGTTGCTCTTGCAGAGGGCCGAGTTGGAGTTCCAGTACCCACTTGGCAGCTCACAAATGTCCATAACACCAGTCATAAGGGATCCAATGCCCTCTTCTGGACTCTGCAGCAAACACCATACACATAAAGTAGATAGGAAAAAAAAGAAATGAAAAGCATGCAATTATTTAAAATAAATAAATGAAACCATTATCTGGGTGTAGTGGTACACAGCTGTAGTCCCAGCACTTGGGAAGTTGAGACAAGATTACAACCTGAGCTACATAGCCTGACCCTGTCTCAAAAAGAAAATTATACAGGGGTCTGACAAGATGGCTCAGTAGTAGCCAGGCATGGTGACTCACACCTTTAATCCCCACACTTAAGAGTCAGAGGCAGGCCAGATGGTGGCGCACACCTTTAATCCCAGCACTCGGGAGGCAGAGGCAGGCGGATCTCTATGAGTTCGAGGCCAGCCTGGTCTACAGAGCTAGTGCCAGGACAGGCTCCAAAGCCACAGAGAAACCCTGTCTCAAAAAACCAAAAAAAAAAAAAGCCAGAGGCAGATAGATCTCTATGAGTTCAAGATAAGCCAGGTCTGCATAGTGACTTCCAGGCCATTGAAGACTACATAGTGAGACCCTGTCCCCCTCCACAGACACATCAAAAAAAAAAAAAAAAGATGGCTCAGCAGGTCAAGGTGTATGTCATCAAGCCTGATGCCTAGTTGCATCCCTTGAAGCCAAGTGGTGGAAGGAAAGAACCAGTTCTGACCTCCACGCATACACTGTGGCATGCTCATGCTTATACACATAAATAAGTAAATTAAATGTAATTTTAGATTTTGTTTAATTATAATGTATCTATTCCTGAGCATCTGTTGGTCAAGCAAACATGTGTTGCCTCCTGTGAGGAACTTCAGCCCTAGTATTTGAATGACTTCTCTGCTTTTGGGGGCAGAAAAAGGCAGCTGGTGTTGAATATGGGCCTGTTGCACCAGCCATGCTGAGAACTGGTAGGACATGCGACTATAACTGTCTTCTAAGAGAAAGGTTGTCCTTCCCACCCCATTTGGGAGGGGGTGTTGTTTTGAGACAGGATTTCTACGTAGCCCTGACTATCTGTCTTGGAATTCACTATGTAAACCAGGCTAACCTGAAACTCACAGAGATCTACCTGCCTCTGCCTCCCGAGTGCTGGGATTAAAGGTGTGCACCACCATGACCAGCCCAATAAATGTGTAGCCCAGGCTGGCCTCAAACTCATGATCATCCTGCCTCCGCCTCCTTTAATAAATTACTGGTGTGCACCACCACAACCAGCTCACCCCATTTTAAAGATGGAGAGACTAATACACAAGAACTTACTTGTGCAAAGTTGGCACAATGGAAAAATGACAAGGTATGGAGGTGGGTGGTGTCAGAGGATCTGCTGAGAATCAGAGTCTGAGGCAGAAACCTGCGCCAGTAGTCACCTTCAAAGGCTGCTTCCGTGACCAAGCTCTGTCACTAGGCTCCACAGCATCCTAGAGCAGTGCCATCACCTGGAGACCAAGTGTTCTTGGTCACTTCAGATTCAAACCCGAACATCTCCTTCAGTTGAAAGCTTCATTTCTTCTTCCTTCTTTCTCCTGGTGGGTTCTGAAAACCATGCACCACAGCAAGTGCACAGGGCACTCGGGTAAGCTGTGCACGTGTTTCAGTCGGCACCTGTGGTTGGTATGTGAGGCTGACAGCACTGCCAGGCGTCCCTCCTCACACTGTTCTCCCCGGAACTGAGGTGGTTAGCAGCGATGCACACTCCTTGGCTTGGGGACTTGGAGCATGCTCCTTGGGCCTCAGGAGCTGTGCAGACTTGCAGACACCTCTCAGTCTGGCATCTGACTTTTCTGTTGGATGAGAAGTTGGAGGAGTCATTCATGCCTGTGGCTCTGGGGTGACATCAGAGGGGTTGTAAAAATCACAGCATTTGCTGAAAAATACAAAGAGCAGGAGTGAGGAGGAAAATGAGGTCCAAGGAACTGTTGGTGTTTGTGTGGTACAGCTCCTCCAGTCCCTTTTGAGGCGCGTGCCCTCTTCCAAAGGGGCCTGAGATAGCTGGGCAGTGGTGGTGCACACTTTTAATCCCAGCACTCAGAAGGCAGAGGCAGGTGGATCTCTGTGTTTGAGGCCATCGTGATCTACGGAGAGGGTTCCAGGACAGCCGAGGCCACACAGAAACCTTATCTTGAAAAAAGAGGGGAGGTTCATCACAATATTTAAAAGATGTTACAGTTGCCTTTTAAGGGATAAGCTAGAGAGGCATCCAAAAGATTCCAAATGAATAAATGCCTGGGACTTAGAGTTTAACCCTGGGAGCCTGAGAGGTAGAGTGGTAGAGCTTCCGTTTCTATCTCAAGGCACATGTGGTCAAGGAGGAGGATGTCCTGTCATTGGACACCAGGGATCCACTGCCCACATCCTGCTGTTCAGAGTGCTGGTCAGCGTCCAGCCTGAAGGCACTGTAGGCATGCGAGTCTGTAAGGGGGTCTGTCTGGCGTAGCCAACAGCCCCTAATTAGGACAGACAGGACAGCTCATTAGTGCGGAACCACAGCTAACCTAACCACCTTTTCTCTTGTCTGTTTTCTCCTTCCCACATTCTTGTTGTGTGTGTGTTTGCTGCCTGGGTTCTGTAGTACAAATCTGTGTTTAGGTCTTATTCCCAGGACTTCATGCCTCACCACCAAGCCTCCGTCCAACCTTTCCTTCCGCCTACCTCCTCTTCCTCTCCACATTTCCCACCTGTCCACGCGTCCCAGAGCTCGGACTTAGCGGTGCCCACCGTAAGCAGTCCGCCTCCCAGCACCGTGGACGGGCCTCTCTCGTCTTCTCAGGACAGCAGCTCTCATGGGAACCCTGTCCGCCTTCCTTCCGAAACCTCTTTCACTGACTCGGTGAGAACTCAGCACATACACATCTGTGCACATCTGCACGCAGGTCTACAGGGTTTAGAAAAATGCTGCTGCTGCTCACAGAGGGCCTGTTCTCCCTCCTCCAGCCCAGTCTGCTGCTGGCGTGAGCCTACTAGAAGCATGACCAGATTGGGGTCCTCAAAGACTAGTAGTGGTCCACCTGTTCCCAGAGCAGAAACCAAATCTTTTATATAGAATTCCCAGCATGCTAGGAATTGGGCTAGTGACCATTTAGAACAGTAAGTTGTCATAGGATCAAAAAGAAAACACTACAAGCTTTCTGATATGTGTCTGTAGAGAGGTCCAGACTTGTGGAGTAGAAGAGACAGAGATAAGGATGCCTGTGGGGCCCATGCCAGGGCCCCTGTACTTCACCGGTAGAGGGGCAGAGGGTTTTACAGGTGGGGACATTTCCAGTAACTAGAGCTGTCAAGTATGTTGCTTCTTGCCCACTGTACTGAGAACCCCTACAGGCCCTGCTACAGGCTAGGGACCCACCACCCCTCGCAGGGCCTGCTACAAGTGGAGAGTTTCCAGAGTGGCTCTGAACACTTGGGGGGAGATCCAGCAGGAGACTCGGTCCTGGCTGCCACAGGGTCAGGAGGTAGTGAGAACAGCTTTGTCCTCTGCCCTTGGGAAACACTTCCCAGGGAAAACTGAGGTGGCTCTCGGGCCTTTTTCTCTTCCTCATTGGCCTGCAGCTGCCCTCTCTAAACTGTGGGGGCTGACCAGAGGGCCTGGCCCATTGTCTTCCCTTTTCCCCTGTCTCCCCCTAGAGCGAAAATGCCAGCAGCGAGGAAGTTGGTGGGGGTGACTATGTCAGTCTGTACTCCCCTGGCCAGACCAGCGAGGAGCTGGCTCCCTCTCGAGGAGTAAGTAACCTCAGGGGGTGGCCTTGTGCATGGGCCAGCAACTGCCCCCCTCGAGGTCGCTTTCCTTGCAGCTGCTTCTATTGGCCGAGCCTCCATAATCTCACTGGAAGCCAGCCCATCCTATGGAAGAGCATATGGCTTCCAGGGAGAGGTCTGCCCTGCTTCTGCTTCAGTGAGTGCAACACTTGTCAGAGCCTGGCTGGATGAGTCTTCTAGAAGTCTCCAGAAGCCACTGGTGTAGACTCTGGCCATAGCCCCTGCTGCTCTTTGGAATTTCTTCCCATCATCCCTCTAGTACTGCTTTCCCTCTTCCAAGAGATACTTTTACTCCTGCCCTTCAGTTCCTCCCAGCATGCCTCACTACCCTCAGCTACTCCCAAAGAAGCAGGGCAAGTGATGGAGATCCATGCTTGTCCTTCCTGAGAGCAGAATCCTTGAGGTCCATGCCTATATTGTGCTGCTGCCCAGCTGTGGCCTTAAGGTGCAGGTGTCTTTGAAGCAGGAGGCTTTCCAAGTTTGGCTTCAGCAAAATGGGCAAATTGAGATGCTTCGAGTCACTAAGCCCAGGAGAATGAATGAGAAGTTCCTCTAGAGGATTAGGTCAGGCCTTCAAGAACTAGAACTCCACCAGGCATTACAGCACTGGCAAGCCCAGCCTGAATACCATGTCCATCCTCTGGTAGTCATGCCGTGATTCCCTGCCATGGTAGCCACCACCATCCTCCCTTAACCACCTTAGAGTATACTTGAGGGAGTCTGTGCCCAGTCCCCATGGCCCTTCCTCTGCCAGTGGATCCCTGCAGTGCCAGCCCCACTGTGGTGTGCTCTCCCTGGTGATGGGCCCTATGTTCACAAGGCCTCTCTTCACCCCCACTCCATGACAGCTCAGGGACACTGTGGAGTTGTAATGCCATTGGGTATGGAGGCAGTCTCCTCAAGGCAGTTCATATTTGTGTGTTTGAGCAACTTGACTCTTTGAAACTCACTGGTTAAGGATCGTGACCCTGAAGACCCTGTAGGGAAGTCAGGGGAGTTTGAGTGCAGTGAAGGATATACGCTTGGAAACAGACAACCCCAAAGGGTTCAAGTCTGCTGCCTACCGTTTACCAGCAGGCCCTTGACTTCCTTGTGGTCAGTTTCTAGTTTCCATAGGGGAGAAGGGTGTAGAGCACTCAGTCCAGCACCACCTGTGCCCAGAGAGGAGTTCCTGGGACTTGCTTCAGGAGGTGGGTAAGGTGTCTGTGCCCAGGTTGACAAGTGAGAGATGTTGGAAGGACTGGCACCTCCACACCCGCCAAAGGCAGGTTTTGGTCTCCAGAGGGCTTGTGTTTCTGGTTGATTAACCTGTTCCCACCTCCAGCTCCGCCTTAGGCACTTGTGCTAGGCCACTCTTGCAGGCAGAAGCGCTGAGAGACAGGCCACCCCAGCAGGGGCCGTCTGTCCAAACCCCACCATTCCTTCTCTTTGCAGGAACCATTGTCTGGGAAGGACGGAAATCCCAGAGATCCCTTGGTCAATAGTGTGTCTGGGAAGGACAGCAGAGAAAATGGGGAGAGGTAAGACGTGAGCAGGGGCATCCAGGCCCCAAGAGCAGTGTCTGCTCAGTGAGGCCACCTGTGTTTGTGTTGAGGGTCTTTATTTTTCTGATTCTCAACACAGTCTATGTCGGGGTGGAAACTATGAGGAAACAAAGATTACTAATAGCCCACCTTCAAGGCCTTTGCAGCGGCCAGCGTGCCTGCATGCTCACACCTGTGCTGGCTGCTGTCCCCTACCCTCTCTGGGACCCCAGCCCCACCTTCCTTGATTTTGGTTTCTTCAGCTCAAGGTCACATAGGAAGTGTAAAAGACCTTCCCACCCACAAACTTTTTTTGTGTCACTAAGCATTCTGAAAGTAGGCTATAGGTATTGTGACCCATGCCCTTCCCCTGACAGGTGGAAATATGGTCATAATGTCATTGTCACCCCTGAGACAGAAAAGGTCCCCTCATGTTACCTGGAGAGCAAACCCAGAAATCTATCAGTCTCGCCCTCCCCCGACCTCTACCCCAGAGTGAACCTAAGGCCTCGCGCATGCCAGACGAGTGCTGTACCTGAGCACAGCACCAGCCCGAGTATCTGAGGTGGTTTTTGTTTTTATGACCCAAGCCTTGCAGTGCCTTTAGATACCTTCTTCTCATCATTGCTTCTTAGTAGTGGCTTGCAGAAGGGTGGCTGGTTCTCTGGAACCACTTAGTGCAGTCTGAAGGAGCTGCCAGCCAGCACCCTGCTGCTTGATGTTGATGTCCCCTTTTTTAGGAAAGGTACCAGTGGTCAGGCTTGCCTTCCCTCGAGTCACCTGAGGCCCCGTTGATTCAGCACGGCAAAGCCCTGCCCACTTAAAGGTGGTAGGCCTCAGTGTAGGCCTAGCACTAGGAGGGTTGGGGAGAGAAGCAAAGACCTGCAGGCAGTTTGGACAGGCTTGTGGGCAGAGCCCCCTGCATCCTGGCCACTCTTGGTTCTCACCGCCGTAAGTCTGTCTTACAGTCTCCCCCAGGTGTTGGAAGCAGTGGTAGATTTTCCTACCACTTGGTCAGAAAGGCTTGTGTGTGCTAAGCAAAAGCAGCGTGTGGATTCTGTCACTTGCTTCCCTGGAGCCCCGTGTCATGTTCAGAGTTCAGATGTTTAGGTTAATCACCTCCTGAGGGAGGACTCTCCCAAGAGCTATTCTGGTAGCTCAGCAGACTTCTGATGGTGGAGTGAACAGAAAGATGAGCACACTGGTGGTCAGAAAGCTCCTGAGACATCTGCCTTGCAGAGACACCACTCTGACCTTCTAAGGCAGCAACAAGCATGACACTCCTCAAGCCCTAGCCATGCAAGCTCCTACTGAGACACAGATTCTTGCAGCTGAGCTGCAGAGAAAATGTGCCCTGAGTGCCAAGCGAGGAACTCAGTGGGTGAGGGCACTGCTGCCAAGGCGGGTCGCTGCGATCCACTCCTGGAAGGAGAAACTGATTTTCACACACTGTCCTCTGTCATGAGCGTCCACACAAGATAAATTAAGATGTAAACGGTGTTTTGGAGGGTGGGGGTCATGCTCTGTGACAACCCCAAGCTGCCTAATGTCTTGCTGGGTCTGGCCTGAGAATCTTCGAACACCTTTAGCTGCCCACACTGGAGAGATCTTGTCTCCTCTTCCTTTGACCAGATGCTGTTCAGTGCTTTCAGTCACTGTCAGCACAAGGCCTTCTCTCGCTCCAGCGCCATGGCTACCTATTTTAAAGGCCATCTCTTGTGAAGTCGAACACTCGGTGCTATGGGGCCACATCTGCTGGGTCATGGCATTTTCTTCCAGCTAAGCCGAAGGTCTGCAGAGTTGGGCCCTGTGAAAGGGCTTGGGCTGGCATGGAGGAACATGGGGTGCGCTTCCTGCAGCCCTCTTACTGCACTTCCCTTCAAGGGCTGCCCTGTGTGAATGTGGTGGAGCTGGAGAGCAAAAACCATTACAAGAGAGCTCAGAGGAGCATTTGCACTCATGGCCTAGCTCTTTCCATTCGCAGAAGAGACTTGCAGAAAACAGACGTGTCCCTAGGCAGAGCCAGGAGCCCAGTTGTCACCCTGGCTCTGCCCGCCACTCCATTCAGGGCTTGTCCACAAGCAGCTCTTACACCCTGGCCTATGCATGGGCAGGTGTCTTCAGTTCTGGCTCAGAGTTTGGCGCTGCCATCTGTAGTGATGGGAAAGTCAGAGCAGCAGGAGCTCGAGGCAGCTGATCACACCGTGCCCACTGTCAAGAAGCAGAATGCTGGTGCTCAGCTCTGTTTCAGATGGTCCAGGACCACCACCACCACCACCGGCGGCGGCACTCACAGTGGCTGGGTCTTCCACCTCACCTAGCCTATTCAGGCATGCACAGAGGCCTGACTCCTCTAGGTCTCGTTAAGTCGACAGTTAGGATTAATCATCACGCCGGGCGGGGTGCCACACACCTTTAATCCCAGCACTCAGGCGGCAGAGGCAGGTGGATCTCTGTGAGTTCGATGCCTGCCTGGTCTACAAAGTGAGTACCAGGACAGCCAAAGGTGTTTCACAGAGAAATCCTATCTAGGAAAACCAAATAATAATAAGATTAAGCATCACAGAGTAGGGGGAAATAAAGATTAACCATCGCCTGGATTGCCTCGACCTGCAGGTGTCACCGACAGGTGTCCAGGAACTGGGGAACCTGGCCATGTCTGACACTTTTGAACACCAGCCACTTCTCCTCCCAGGTCCCCAAAGTCACTGGATGCTCTGGAGTCAGGCCAGTCAGAGGAGGAAGTGGACGAACTGACCCTCATTGACCACAATGAAATTATGGCCCGGCTGACACTGAAGCAAGAGGTAAGGATTCTCCAGGCCTGGCTCTTATAGCCATCAAGCAAGAGGGAGAGGAGGGGAAAGAAATGTGGCTTGGAGTGCCCAGCAGGGAGACCTGAGCTCCCAGCAAAAAAGGGTTCTAGGGGGGGAAGTTCACTGTCCCTTTCTTGCTATTTCCCAAAAGTGAACTTGGGCCTTGCAAAGCCTCTCTGAGCCTCATGCAGGTACTTCTGAGGTCAGTGCACAGGAAACCACCAGCAGTGCTCAGTATAGCCAGCAATGAGGCATGTATATGCTGTTGATAGCATGGCCCCTCCCCCTCCTCTGGACTCTGAGCTCTGGACTCTGTTTGAGGAGCCCTATTGACAAGAACAACACCCAGACATTTTATGAAAGAGGAAGAAGCTGACCCAAGAACCTTGTCTCTTCTCTGTACTGTTCTAGAAACTCAGGGTTTCATGGGACATCTCAGAACAGGTGCTACCCTGTGCATGTTCCTGGGCAAGCCTCAGTGACTTCCTAGCAACACAGGAAGACGTCAGCACTCGGGCCATCAGGGTGCTGGTAGGGTTAGCAGGGTCCAAGCAAAGCCTCTGCAGAAAGAAGAGCTCAATTCCTTCTGGAAAATCAGGTCATGAACATAGGCAACCTTGTCCCAGGTGGGAAACCCAAAACACTCAGAACTCGAAGTCCAGATGGGAACAGAAAAGTTAGGCATTCATGGGATGTACAGATGGGATATTGGCTTTGTCTCCCTTGGAGTCACAGTGATTGAACTCCCAACCCCACCTATAGTTCTGTCACTAGAGCAGATTAAAGCTTGTTTGCCTGTGGAAATTGAGTTGATCTCCCACTGGCAGGCTGGGTTTGGTGACCCTTAACACATCCGATGTCATGAGCAGTCTTACTGTTTTGATGATCTCTTCTGTTGAAGTCCTTCTCAGAACAGTCTGTGGGGCACAGCCCCACAGATGAACCCTACTTCCTTCTTCCTGGGAAAGGGCCTAAGCCACAAGGTGGCTTCCTGTCTCCCAGGCTAAGGGGCTGCCTCTCTTCTTTGAAATTTCACCTTTTAGCTAGGAGGTAGAGGTGAGGTTGAAACCATAGTGCCCTGACCCCACATATCCTCTGGAAGGTGATGTGCCCTGGTACCCTTAGCATCTGGACAGCTTCCTCGATGCTGGTCTCCTTCAAGAGTTCTAACCAAAATCTGTCTTCTAAGTCTATGGCAACAGGGGTATACACAGTGTTGCCTGTTGCTGCTGAGCTGAGAAGAACAGAAAGAAGGGACCCAGGGCCTCTGACACATGGTGTGTTTGTCATCTCAGCCTTGCCTCATGCTCTCTTTACTCCAGGGTGATGATGGGCCAGATGTTCGTGGAGGTTCAGGAGACATCTTGCTGGTCCATGCTACTGAGACAGACAGAAAAGGTATGGCAGCTTCCACTGCAGTGGCTTTGTGTCCCACCAAAGGCATCACATGGCCATGCTGCACTGTCTTCTTTCCTGGCAAACACTATGACTGGGTTGAACTTTGGGTCTGGGTAGAGGAGGCCACCTCTGTAGACCCTGATCCTGTCAAAGCTGTGCCTGGACGTGTCCTCTCTTGAAGTAAGATGACGATGCATTTGGCTCTATGGGCATCATGAGATATACCCATTGTTGGTACCTTGTATATGCTCCAAGGGCGGCCCACTAGATAATGACCTGTTCAGCAGTGGTTTTAAAGTTAAAGCAGCCACAATGGCACACACTATAATCTAGCATTTAGGAGGCTGATAGAGGGGAGTCATGAATTCAGAGTCACCTGGGGGCCACATAACAAGTTTAAAAAAAAAAAAAAAAAAACTTCTAGGATAGCACATGATCAGTCTCTTCTACCTTGTATTTAAGTCATTCTTCTCTTTTCTTCCATGTATTTAGTTCACACAGTCAACTAGCAAGTTCCTAGGACCAAAATTTGTTGTCCAGGAGCTGCCCCAGCCTTGCCATTCCCTCTGCAACCTGATCATCTGAGATGCAGGGACCATATTCCTATACCTGGAAGCGAGTTAACTAGGCTCTGCTAGCAGAGGAGCTGCTCATCCCATCAAGTTCGTAGGAAGGAAACAGGCCCTTGAGCTGGCCTAGGAGGAAGGTGCAGGGCCTCCTTCTTCCCATAGTCATTTTCTTTCTCGTCTCTTTTGAGACGGGGTGTGTGTTCCAGAGGTCCTCTCCCTACACGTTTTAAAAAGGATTTAAAGGGGAAGAGCATGCTGACACATGCTTTTAATCTCAGGATTTGGGAAGCCGGAGGATCTGTGAGGTCCCAGGACTGTTTGAGGAGACCATGTTGCAAAATAAAACAAAAAAGGAGCTGGGGTTATGCCTCAATGATTTAAAGAAAAGAAAAAAAAAACTTGCCTAGCCATTAATAAAGGCCCTATGATTAAACCCCAGCTCTGGGAGAGAGAAAAACGGAAAAGGAAAAAGAAAAAATGATTGAAAAGTTGATGTAACCGGATTAAACTATAGGTGAAATCACTCAAGACTTCAAACCTTAATCCAACCAGTTTTGTCTTTTTTTTTTTTCAATGATCCAGACCCAAACTAAATTGAACAGAGTAGTTCTGGGAAAATTCTGAATTAAGAAAATAGCCTGAAAACTGATTGCATAGAAGAAACTGAAAAGGGGAATGGCTCACACAAGCTCACTCTCATTGCAGCTGCTGTTGAGCCCTCTGGCAGTCCCACCCTTCGTCACCTGTTTCCTCCAGTCAGGGTGGGAGGGTGGTCCTAGAGACTGACAGGACAGCCCTTCCTCCAGGGCCGTGGTTCCCTGACAGTGGCACATCAGGGCATCTTGATAGAGATCCATTTTCATCTCATTTTTATCTAGGATGTAAGCTGGCTTCTGACCTGGCCTTGTGAGGCAGCTCTCCTGTCCTACCAGCTGTAGCCAGGCCAAAGGTACTCTGGACAGGAAGCCCAAAGCCATCTGGTCTACCCACTGGGTCTGCGCAAAGGAGACTTTTGAGTTCAAGTTTCAATAGGATTTGAGGTCCCTGCAGAACCAGAATTGGTTTTACCTGGGAATCTTACCTGAGACAGAGGCTATGGGCCGCTCCAGAGTTGGCAGATGACAAAGCTCTTCAGGCGGGTAACTTCCTGAACCAATAGTATATGAGTGACTCTCAAAGACCCTGGGAGCCATGGCTCATGTGTCTGGGACTCGGCTATGCCAAGCAGAACTAAGCCCGTTAGACAAGTATGCAGGAAGGAGGCACACTTGCCAGTGTACAGCTTCTCTCAGCAGTGCTGTGAGAAGTGTGGGACAGAGCGGGCTGGGTATAGTGTTGTGCCCAAGCTCACATCCTGTCCGTTTCTTGGGACCCGTGTGCTGACCTGTTGCTTGGCCCCCAAGCTTCAGAAAGATCTGAACCACACCAGCACTACAAACACTGTAGAGTTTGGCTCAGGCTCCCGCCCAGAAGCCATACTGGACACAGCACAGCCATCCTTGAGGCTGGCCTACTCCTTGTCTCACACATGGGCTATGGCCCTGGTGCTCATCAGCAGGCTAGAGCACACCCTACAAGAGGCCACTTGCTCCTGGCAGTGGTCCTCTGCATTCGTGCCCATTCTTCCAGAAGCAGGCGTGTGTATTGGCCCTATCTCTGATTTCTTGCCTGGAACTCTTTCTAGAAAACCCTAGCATAGCAGTGAGCTGGTAGGTTAGAATACAACTATGAGGCTGAGCCCAGTGCAGGAACCAGGCCCCATGCAGCCCAAACACAAGAGCAGGCAGATAGTCCTGCCGCAGTGTGATGGCATGAAGTGCCGTACATATCCTTGCAGCCCCTCCACGCCAGCAAATGAGGAATGTATGAGAGGGGGTTGGAGAGGCCTTCTGGACCCAGAAAGTGAAGCTCGGATAGCACCCAGCCGTGCCTTGTGTGTACAGCACAGCCAGCCCTGGGCTAGCCCACTGTCGCACATGACATCCTATGCTTAATATCTAAAAGCGTGGGGAAAATAAATCACAGCAGTAAGCAGGGCTGCTGGGACTTTAGAGAGGCAGGAGTCCTTGGCTGGCAGTGCCCTTTCCCTTTGGAAGGGGTGGAACTACTAGCCTGAGGCCTCCAGCTACCAGGGCTTTGGTCCTCACAGCTGCCCTTGCCCTGTGTAGGCAGCGAGACTCCTGCCGAGCCTTCCACAGACAGGCAGGCACTTCAGCCTCCCCTTAGGACTTAAGATGGAATTTCCCACATTTTTTAATTACTGGACCTGTCATCTAAAAGCACTGCCTCTGGTTTGACTACAAGAGCTGGCTGACAAGTTTGAATTACCATTTCTGCCCATAGCAGTGAGGAGCCATTGAGCCACTGGGCTTTAGGGCAGTATCTGTGCTTAACTCAAAGGTGGCACAGTCCAGAGCCTATGCCTAGGTCTCCGCCCCTGCCCAGCACAGGGTCACTGGGCCTCAGACCCTCCCATAGCTTGGTTCCCCAGGCAGCCCATCATTAGTAGCTAGTGTGGATGAGACGAAGGATGCGGGACACGGTCAGAAAACAGGAGCCCACCTTGCCCTCCCTCCCTGGCCTGGCTCTCAGGACTCAGCATGGTGTCCATGCTGCAGTCCACAGCCCGCACCCTGGGTCCTGCATCAATGGCTCCTTTGTGTTTCTACAGACCTGGTGCTGTACTGTGAGGCCTTCCTGACAACCTACAGGACCTTCATCAGCCCTGAGGAGCTCATCAAGAAACTGCAGTACCGATATCCTTCCCAGGTCTGCAGCCTTCAGTCTGTGAGACCATTTTTACTTGTGTTACACTATTTCTGATGATGTAATTGGGGAAACTGAGGCTGAGTGTGAACCTGGGCATATAAGTTAACTGACCTGCATAGTATCACCAACCGTCAGGTTCTCAGCCCTTCCCAGGGCAGCCTGCTGCCCCCTCAAGACCGGGGTAGCACTTTCACCTTTTTTTTGTTTTGTTTTGTTTTGAGACAGGGTTTCTCTGTAGTTTTAGAGTCTGTCCTGGAACTTGCTCTTGTAGACCCGGTTGGCCTCGAACTCACAGAGATCTGCCTGCCTCTGCCTTCCAAGTGCTGGGATTAAAGGCATGCGCCACCACCACCCAGCTAACATTTTCACCTTTACAGTGGGGCCCAGTTCCCATCCCAGCCAGCGGCGTCTTGACCCTGACTCACAAAATGGCAGAGGAAAATGTAGAATAATGTGGAGGGCCTGCAATAGCATTCTGCTGCACTGCCACACTGCTGAGGACAGCTGGGACCACTGGGCAGGTCTGGAAAAGACTGAGAAAGGTTAGGAGAAGGAGGTAGGCGGCCCTGCCAGGGGGTTCCCTGCAGGTTCTCCACACTGAACCCTGGGTATCCAGGTAGTGGGCAGACTTAAGAGAAGAAAACTCAGCCAGGTGATGGTGTTACACACCTTTAATTCCAGCATCTGAGAGGCAAAGACAGGCAGATCTCTGAGTTCAAGGCCAGCCTGAACTATAGAGTGAGTTCTATACAGTGTAGGTAGGACCACACTGAGAAACCCTGTCTTGAAAAACCAAAAAGGGAGGGAGGGACGGAGGGATGGAGAGAGAGAGAGAGAGAGAGAGAGAGAGAGAGAGAACAGTGAAGGCTACTAATGACAGCTAATGACTTCAAGGCAGGTCTGGCCCCTTCTACTGCCCTGGCTAGGTAGTGGCCAGCTCCTCCACCACAGCTAGGCTTTGCCCCTAGCCCAGGCCTCAGCCATGGGGATTGTTAGTGGCCAAGACCACTTTTGCTGCCTGTTCCCTCTCTCTTTCCTAGAGGCCTGTCTGGGAACCACAGTTACTGGGCCACTCCCAGCCACATAGCCTGTGACTGCCATCTGCTGGGCAGCTGCTGTCACTGGGGCAGCTCTCCGCCTTCCTGTGTGCCCTGAACCCTCTCAGGGGCTCCCTCACACCTCCTGTCCTCAGTCTGACCCTGACTAAACGTCCTAGCCTGTCAGGACAGGTGTGGTCATTTCCCATTTGTGGACTCTAAACACCTGCCAGAGCCTGGCCTAGCAAAAGACTGTCAACTACATCTGCCAGGAACATGTCAAACCTGACATGTATTTGCGTGTGGGATCCCACTTGGCTGTGAGACCATTTTTATTTCTGTTATACCATATTTCCCATGGTACCAGTGAAATGGAGCATGGGTAACTGACCTGTGTAATCCCACCTCCAACCTCTACTGCCACCCTGAGTTTCTCATTCTTCCCCCATTTAGCCTCAGCCAACCTGTTCATGGAGGCATCCCCCCCCAGACTTGGGACGGCACTTTTCTGGGGGCCAAGTAGACCATCCATGTGGCGTGGCTCCCCTTGAGTGCCAACACACAGGTCATGGGTCACTGGGGAATAAGGGAAAGAATGGAGAGGGGTTTTTTTTGTTTTTAAAGATTTATTTATTTAAGTACACAGTGATCTGCCTGCATGTATGCCTGCAGGCCAGAAGAGGGCACCAAATCTCATTACAGATGGTTGTGAACCACCATGCGGGTTGCTGGGATTTGAACTCAGGACCTTTGGAAGAGCAAGCAGTGCTCTTAACCACTGAGCCATCACTTCAGCCCCAAGAATGGAGAGTTAATGGGAGCAGAAAAACAGCAGGAAGCCACCATCTCCAAAGTAGACTCTGGCATCAGTGGTCATGAGTCAAGTGTGAGGGCTGTCATGGGGTCTGTTGTTCCCACAAAGGAGGACCAGCCTGGCTTTCCAAGGTACAAGCTCCCAGGAGCATCCACACCATTGTGGTTGTGTGGCTGGGGAAATGATCTCTAGATGGAAGCCCATAGGATGGAGAGGGGGGATTTATGACCTGTTCACTCTATGGGCCCTGGGTTTTCGAGGATGTGTAGAGAGGGATCTGCTCCCTCGACTTGAGGCCCAGCACCGTGGCCCTCAGCCAGCATGTCAGCACTCAGGTCTAACCCGAAGATGCCCTGGAGGGTTGCAGCAGCCTGTGGAACAAGTGGCCTGGACTAGATTTGCTCATTCTTGCTGCACACAGACCAGGCCTTTGCTTCCACAAGCTAAACCTTCACTCACCAGTTCCCAGCACTGCAAGTGGCTCATGGGGGGGGGGGGGTTAGAGCCTCAAAATTAGCATTCCATGCAGACCCTGCCCTATGAACCTTAACCCACATTTTACATACGAGAAGTTCTCTCCCTTCGCTGACACATTCAAGAAGCGAGTCAGCAAGAACACGTTCTTTGTGCTGGTGCGAGTGGTGGATGAGCTCTGGTGAGTTCCTCACCCTGGGGTCCCAGAGCTGGTTGGCCAATGCTCAGGACTGTGCATTGCAGCAGGCCGCTAGCATGGGGTTGTCACCTAGATCACCCCACTCTTACACTGCACCACTGTGGGGCTGTGTACCCCCAGCACAGAGTATTGCTCACTGGTTCCATTGATTTATCTCAGCTCTGAGGGTGGGGTGGGTCCTAGACTCTCAAGAGAAACCCTGCCCCATCTAGGACTGCGCCTTCCTGAGTTATCTTAGGACTAGTTCACAGAAAGACTCACAGTAAGCAGTTGTGGGGGTGCCACATCTGAATCCTTGCCCTTGGATGGCATCTTGTTCATGTGTGGTGGCTGTATGCTGCTGAGGTCAGGAATGGAGGGGCTCACTGGAGATGAGGGTCTTCTGCCCTGACATAAGACCCAGCTTAGACAGGATCTTCCCCGAGGCAGAAAGCAACAAGTGTGTTGAGTAAGTTGACAGGGACCTATTCCAGAAAGGCCACTCCCAGCACTGTCCTCAACTGGATCCTACATTTCACCAAGTGCCCTTGGCCCTTAGCCTGGTGGAGTTGACGGAGGAGATCCTGAAGCTACTGATGGAGCTAGTCTTCCGTCTAGTGTGCAACGGAGAGCTCAGCCTGGCCCGTGTACTCCGGAAGAACATTCTGGAAAAAATGGACCAGAAGAAGCTGCTCAGGTGTGCCCATTCCGACCAGCCTCTGGCAGCCAGGGGTGTCGCAGCCAGGTGAGCCAGTGTCCCAGCACAGTACTGAAGATCAGAACTGAGCCCAGCAGCTGCCTTTGCTCACAGCCCTTGTGACGAGGGCTCCCATGACTGTGCCTCTCCCCATGCGAATGGAGGAGATGGATGTGCTCTGGTCAGCTGTGGATTTCCCCAGCACTGATGTTACCGTCTGTGCCATCCAGACTTCCTAAAAGCCTGGGAAGTCTTTCTTGCCTTCTGCCCAGCCGGTGGGGGTGTGTTGGATGGTAGGCATGTAGAGCGGAGGCGGGAGAAGAAGGAAGCCAATTACCTGAGAGCAGCTCTGTGGCCCAGAAAGGCCCATGGAGGTAAAGCCTGCATCAGTCTTTCCCCAACCATGCTTCTCATGCTGTGTTCCAGGCCAGGGACCTTGCATGATTTCCACAGCCACGAGATAGCAGAGCAGCTGACATTGCTGGACGCAGAGCTTTTCTATAAGATAGAGGTATGTGTTGGGGTGCCCTGTAAAAGGAAGCAGCTCTCTGCCTGGACGCTGCTGCTGACTGTCCTTAAGGAGAGCACCCCCCAGCCCGCCCCAGACCAGGAACACCGCAGGCTATCATGCCGTCTGTTCTGTTTCCACCCAGATTCCTGAAGTTTTGCTTTGGGCCAAAGAGCAGAATGAGGAGAAGAGCCCCAATCTGACCCAGTTCACGGAGCACTTCAACAACATGTCCTACTGGTGAGAGCGGCCGCAGCACTCGCTCAGGTGGTCTGGTGGCGCAGCTCAAGCATCCTTGGCAGAGAGGTTGAATGACCGGTCCTGAGCTCTCTCCAGAGCCTGCGGGCTCTAGCCTTGAACTGTGGGCACCAGAGAGAAGGCAGGGAGGGGGTGGCTCCCTATAGAGCTGGTTGAGGAGGCACCATAGTCTCTAAGTGAAGCCTGGCAGGGAGGAGTGCCAGGATTGGTTGTGACCCTGCGAGGCAGGAAGCACCTGCTACTCTGCAGGACCAGTCAAGCCGTCAGGGCTGCAGCTCACCTGACTGCCTGAAAGAGATCAACTGATAAGCAAAGGAGTGGATTGTTAAGGCTTTGGCAAATCAAAGGACACCTGAGTTCTTTTCTTGGGAGACAGCCAGTCTCTACATAGCCCTGACTGGTTGTCTTGGAAATTACTATGTACACCGGGTTGGCCTTGGATTCATAGAGATCCTCCTGCCTTTGCCTCCCAAGTGCTGGGATTAAAGGCGCACTGCCTGGCCTACATTCTCCTAATTTAAGGGCTACCACACCCGATTTGTCTCTGAATTCTTTTTTTTTTTTTTTCCGAGACAGAGTTTCTCTTTAACTTTTGGAGCCTGTCCTGGAACTAGCTCTTGTAGACTGGGCTGGCCTCAAACTCACAAAGATCCGCCTGCCTCTGCCTCCCGAGTGCTGGGATTAAAGGCGTGCATCACCACTGCCCAGCAACTCTGAATTCTTAAAGCAAAATGAAGGCCAGCACTGTGTGTCATTTTTTCTTTTCACCATGTGAGCAGGTGCCACCACCTCCTGCTGCATTAGCCCTACCCCACACGTCTGCCATGGCCCCAGGGGAAGGTTTCATTGCTTCTCCCCCTGCTTGGGAAAGGGCCTCCCCTCACCATAGCCACCATTCCAATCTTAGTGTGCTAGTTTCTAGGGCAGATAGGAACTGCTTCCCTCCTGAGCCTTGCCTGATCCACAGTCTGTTGCTAGTTGCAGAAAACTCTAGAAAGTGGCAGGCTGAAGGTGCACAGTACCCTTTGGAGCCATGGCCTCTTATGTCCCTAACACAGGTGCCCTTTGCAGGATAGAAGAGTAACCCTGCAGTGACCCTTGTAAACCATAGGAGGTTAAGGCCACCATGAGGTCAACCTTATTGCTAAGGTTCTAAGTTTCCATCCCTTTGCTGACTTAGTGGTTTCCTACTCAGCTGTCAGCTGATCTCTGAGCCACCAGCATCAGGCCCCATAAGGCCTTTTCCTGCTGAAGATGCTTCAATCCCCAAGCCTCCCTTGGAGAAGCTAAGGTCCTTGTTCTGGCCCCCTGGGGTACAGTGAACACCCTGAGATCAGGGACCAGGTTCACTCTTATGCTTCCTTTGGTTTCAGTGTAAGAACTTGTAACCAACTGGCACAAGGGTCACACATATTTCATCTCCCAGGGCCACCGAGCCTATGGAAGACGGTTAGCTCAGCTGTTGCTTCTCTGGCCGTTTCCTGCAGGGTACGGTCTATCATCATGCTGCAAGAGAAGGCCCAGGACCGGGAGAGGCTGCTTCTGAAATTCATCAAGATCATGAAGGTAACTGTGGCTCAGTACCCAGAGCCCTCCAACTCTGCCTGGGGAGGCTAGCGCCATCAGCCCTCCGCTGCCCTTACCCTTACCCCGCCTCTCTTTGCAGCACCTGCGCAAGCTGAACAACTTCAACTCCTACCTGGCCATCCTCTCAGCTCTGGACTCAGCACCCATCCGCAGACTGGAGTGGCAGAGGCAAACCTCAGAGGTGGGTGGTGGGAAGTCTGGACAGGCTGGTATGAACCTAAGAATGGACATGCGTCTCCATCTGGACACCCACCTCTATGTGACCAAGACAGCTGCTTCTTCAAAAACCTCAGCTTCCTTTCTCTGGCCTCCAATCAGCAGGTCCTGTGACTTTCATGGCTGGCTGTGGGGTCAACTCTCCTAGCTTCAGCTGCTGAATCCACCCTTTAGCCCATCCATCCAAAGTGGCCGTTCTGGGCACAGGACTACACACTAGGCCTATTGGGTGGGTGAGATGAGTATCAGAGGAGAGGGCAAGTGAGCCCACGAACAGGGTCTTCTCTGAGGACGTACTCACATCAGCAACAAACAGGCCTGAGGCCTTCCACCATTAGCAGGTGTCAGCAGGGCCTGAGTCTGGCATGCTTTGGGCCCCTGGCATCATCACGTGTCACTAATTCACCTCCATCCTGCAGGGCCTGGCCGAGTACTGCACATTGATTGACAGCTCATCCTCTTTCCGAGCCTACCGGGCTGCCCTCTCAGAGGTGGAACCCCCATGTATCCCGTACCTGTGAGTTGTCTCCCCACCCACAGCTCTGTGGTCACCACACCTGATGGCTCAGACCTCTCAGCTCCCCCTGCTCATTTTTAGTGGGATTTTGTTGTTTTCATCTTTTATATGTATTTTGTGTGTGTGTGTGTGTGTGTGTGCGCGCGCACGCGCGCGCACTCGCATGTCTAAGTGCATATGTGTGCTCACAGACTTCGGAAGAGGGAATGGGATACCCAGGAACTGGAGTTACAAACAGTTACGAGTGGCCATGTGGGTTCTGGGAACCAAACCCAGGTCTTCTGCAATGACAGTAAATACTTTTTTTTTCTTTTGCTTCTTCCTTTTTTTTTTTCAAATAATTTATTTAATTTTATGTGCATTGTGTGAAAGTATCAGATGCCCTGGAACTTGAGTTGCAGACAGTTGTGAGCTGCCATGTGGGCTCTGGGAATTAAACCTGGGTCCTCTGAAAGAATAGTCAATGCTCTTAACTGCTGAACCATCTCTCCAGCCCCATTTGAGTTTTTGTTGTTTGTTCGTTTTGTTTTTTGTTTCAGTTTTGGTTTTTCAAGGCAGGGTTTCTCTGTGTAGCTTTGGAGCCTGTCCTGGCACTCTGTAGACCAGGCTGGCTTCTAACTCAGAGATCCACCTGCCTCTGCCTCCCGAGTGCTGGGATTAAAGGCGTGCGCCACCACCGCCCGGCCCATCTCTGCATTTTTAATCTATTTGAGTGTTCAGTTAACCACTTCACATTAGCAGGTACAGCCGTCTGACGCTGTAGCCAGGTCAGACCCACAGTCCTCCATAAGACTTAAGTGCTCCAGGCTCTGCCAGTGCTGCGCTGGTTTTTAGGGGATCCGTAGGGGGAATCTGACCCAGAGTCCAGAAAGCAAGGCTTCATGTGGTTCAGAAGATCGCCTAAATCTGTGCTCTGGCTTGCTCTGCGGTTCAGTAGCTGCTTGTCATGGGCTACAGTTCTGGTAGCAAAGCCAGTTTACAACAGAACAGCTGCTCCTGAGTCCTGTCTCCATGCAGTAACTGGCTTCTGCCTTCATCCCCAGAGGTCTGATCCTGCAGGACCTGACCTTAGTTCACCTGGGAAACCCAGACTATATTGACGGGAAAGTGAACTTCTCCAAGCGGTGGCAACAGTTCAACATCTTGGACGGCATGCGGTGCTTCCAGCAGGTGTAAGTGCTACCTGGCACCAGCCTGGCCTTGCTGCAGGGAAGGGCACAGCCCAGAGGGCCAGGAGCCCACATCTGTGGGATGGGGTACAGTCCCTGCTCCCCTGGGTTTTATCAGGACAGCATGGGGAAATCCACACAAATGGCTCAACTCCTTGTCTGGGCCTAGGCCTGGGCCTATGGTGGCAGCCAGTTTGTCCTCCAGTTACATACAAGTCAGGAAGCATACTTGGAAAGTACTCTCCAGGCCATAAGAAGGAGGCCGACTGGTCTACAGAGTTTCAGGACAGCCAAGGCTACACAAAGAACCCCTGTCCTGAAAAACCAGAAAAGGAGACTGACAATCCAGGCTACCTGGCTTTAGGGCCAGCTTGGCCATCACAGCCCACTCAGGATGGCCGGAGTGCACCATGTCCCAGACGAGTCTGCCCAGGGGACCACAGGGAAGCCAGGTCCAGAGCACACACAGTGTTTTATGTCTGGTGCTGAGTGCCGCTGTCCCCTGTCAGCTTGGGTAGCAGTGACCCTGCCCCCACAGTCATCTGGGTTGCACCCTTTGAGGTTCTGGCCTGGCTGTTGAGAGCCCTGGACTCGCTGACTGCCCCTCTCCCCCCAGGCACTATGAAATCCGGAGGAACGACGACATCATAACCTTCTTCAATGACTTCAGTGACCACCTGGCCGAGGAGGCCCTATGGGAACTCTCTCTGAAGATCAAACCCAGGAACATCACAAGGCGGAAAACAGACCGTGAAGAGAAGACCTAGGCGCTGGCTGGGTATAAGAACGCTCGAGAGGCCCAGAGAGGACCTGGACCGTCCAGCCTCAGGGCCTGTCCACGGCTTGGCTGTGTGGCGGCACCCGAGCCTGCTAGCCGGTTTCCTGCCTCTCTCCCTGTGGCTAAAGCCCCAGGGTCCACAATGAGCTGGCCGGCAGGCCTCAGGACTGGCTTGTGAACTGGTGGACCCGGTCTGGTTTTGTTTTCTGTTTTCTGTCGATGCTCCCTCCTGTTCCCTACTGTTCCCTTCCAACTGGGGAGCAACAGAGACCTGAACAGCAGACTAGGACAGTGGTGAGCCTCAACCCTCTGAAGGGTGCCCTCACCTTCTTAAGTGGCAGATGCGTAAAAGCCCCAGAACCCTTGGGTAGGCTGCCCTCCAGGGACATGGGAGGCAGAAAGCAGAAAAGGGCCATGGCAGGAATCTTTTAAATATGGAGGATGAGGCCTGTAGACCTGGCCCAGAAGGTATGGTGAATGGCATCAGCAGCCACAGAGCTGGCATTCTCACAGTAGTGGCCCCAGACCTGTCCTGCCATGCATGGCCCGCTAGGCTCACCTGCTACACATGACAGTAGCACCTCCCTCCTGTGCCCCCACCCTGGCCCAGCTACAGCCGCTGCCCACACCACTGGCACTCTGGGGATCAGGAAAAGAAGAGGTTGAAGGAAGGGGGAGTTCATGCTGAGCTGGGGCCAAGGCTGTGCTTCTGAGTGAGGGTCTTTAGTGACTGAAGGAGAGGCAAGCAGCCCCTCCATGCTTGCTGTGTGCCTTAAATGCCATCTCCTGTCCCTTCCTGGCCTATGGGCTTCCCTTCCACTTTGCCCAACCCCTGGCAGCCAGCAGGTCCCTAGTCCCTTTCTGTACCCTGGCAATGTCTGGTGTCCCCGAGAAGGCTGAGCAGGCCTGGGGTGTGAGTGCCTCCAGAGGCCTCCTGATTCCAGGCAGGTGCTCGTCCCCTGATGTGGAGCCACCACTGCTGCTGAGGTTGACAATCGAGGGCAAGATGTTCAGGGCTCAGTGCTAGGGTCTCCCAGGCCCTGGCTCCGTGGCCACCACTGTGGCTAGTTGGCAGGGTACAGGTCAGATGTGCTGCTAGCCCTCCCATGCCTCCAGTTCACTTTTTAATGAACAAGTGCCCATTTCTTCTGGTCATGGGGCTTGGTCAAGTGGACACCAGGATCTCTGTGCTTCCTCAACCCCGTCATGGCAGCAGAGGGAAGACAACAGCTGCTGGCCGGGTGCAAGTTTGGAACAACTGTCGCTCTGAACCCCTCCTGGGTGTTTTTTTTAGGAGCTTTTATCAAAAAAGGAACTCTGGGCTGTTCTTCCCCCTCTCCGTTTATTTGTGCTGTAAAGAGGGGGGGTATCTGTGAACAGCCCTTGGCCGGCTCCCTCTGGCAGCAGCCAGGGCACCCGGGTTGTCTAAGGAGTGTGTGTGGAGTCGAGCTTGTGAGCAGTCGTGTGGGTCTTTGGTTTGTTTCTTCTTTGCAGGTCCTTCATTTCAGTCACTTCCTCCTGTCCCTCACGAGTGCTGCTGTGTGCAGGTGGGGGGCACTGTTCACATCGGGCCCTTCCTCCGTGTGGGGACAGTGAGGTGCAATGTGTGGATTTAACTTATTAGCCAACAGGCTTCCCTAGTCACCTGCCTCTGGCTGAGGCTGAGCCCAGTGCTCACCGCGGCCTGGCTTCCACATGTCTGTTTCTCGGGGGTGGGGGGCTGGGAGAGCTGTGCAGATCAGTCTTTGTAGGCACCCTGAGTGGCATGGACAGTTCAGTTTTCTACAGAGGCCAGCCCTTACCTGTGAGTTTGGTATGGACAAGGCTAGAGCAAGCAAATGCCACATCTGGCTGATCGTGAACCGAGACACCTGCCCAATGCCTCCCAGTGTGATGCTGTAATATAAATCCCCCACTAACCTGTCCGACAGTGGCATCTTCCTACAGACATTACAAGCGCGTAACTTTTATATGAAAAAATAAACAGGCAAAAGCCCGTCTGATGCCGCCTCTGTGTCCAGGCTTTCTGTGCCAGGCTGCCTTGGGTCAGTCCCTACCTGTTTGTGACCTAGTTGAAGGGAAGGGGGTGGAGCCTAGGGCTCTGGTCGGCATTCTCTTCTCAGACCTGCTCTTGTGGTTGTGGTCACTCTGGCTGAGTAGAGGATAGCACCAGGACCTGCCCTTCTCAGACTGAAAGGAAACAGCTTAGTGGCCATAGGCACTTAGCACCGCTCTGACAACCTGGGTTCTCTGGGGCCCATGAGGTAAGAGAAAACTGAGTTTTGCAAGGTGTCCTCCACCTCCACACACATGCGTGAGAAAAAAGTAAAAGTAAGGACACAAGCACTGTGCACACCCAAGAGCTGTGTCCCTGCCCTGTCATCACAGTGCCTTCTGCAGGTCACTCCTGTGACTTTCCAAATGAGTGCTGAGGGAAGGGTATGGTCTCTGCCCCATGAAATGTCCTCAGGCCTCGGGAATGAAGTACCACACCCAGGAGGACAGCTCCCAGCCAGCCCCCGATGACATCAGACTGGAGAGAGGACTCCACAGTTAAGAACAGTGGCTGCTCTTGCTGAAGACCTGAGTTCAAGTCCCAGCACACACGGTGTCTAACAACAGGCAGTGCCCTCTTCTGACCTCTCCCAGCACCAGGCATGCAAGTAGTGCACATGCACGCAAACAAAACACTCATACACAAAATCTTAATTAAAAAACAAGCCTGAGTCACACTTGGTAGGAGGCGCACATCTTTAATTCCAGCATTTGGGAGGCAGAAGGAGGTGGATCCCTGTGATCTCCAGGCCAGCCAGGGATACAAGTGAAACCTTGTCTTTTTGTTTGTTTGGTTGGTTGGTTGGTTGGTTTTTTTGTTTGTTTGTTTGTTTTTCAAGACAGGGTTTCTCTGTAGCTTTGGAGCATGTCCTGGATCTAGCTCTGTAGACCAGGCTGGCCTCAAACTCAGAGATCCGCCTGCTTCTGCCTCCCAGGTGCTGGGTTTAAAGGAGTGCGCCACATGGGTGTGTAGCTCAGTGGTAAGATGCTTGCCTAGTATGTGTGAGGTCCCCAATACCACACCACATGCAAAAAGCACTATATACATAAAATGAGACATTTTTATCAGATCATATTGTAAAGATATCAGTTGCCAGGTGTGGTACACTGCGTAGCCTGAGCTACATGCTGAGAACTCCCAAAATAGGCATCTCAGACTCAATTAGTAGCTGATTGAAGCAATTCCTATTAAAACCCCAATAGTGCGTGCGTGTGTGTTTGTGTGTGTGTGTATGTGTGTGCGCGCGCGCACAGTGCACATGTCTGGGCGAGGAGGCCAGGGACTGACATCAGATGTCATCTTCAGTTGTTATCCCCCTTTTTAAAGATTTATTTTTCACTGGCATGGCGCACACCTTTAATCTAATCCCAGCGCTAGGGAGGGAGAGGCAGGCTGAGCTCTGTGAGATCAAGGCCAGCCTGGTCTACTGAGTGAGTTTCAAGACAGGCTCCAAAGCTACACAGAGAAACCCTGTGTCGAAGAAAAAAAAACGGGGCTCTAGCACCCTTAACCACTGGAACCTCTCTGGCCAGACAGATCTTTATTATTTAAGTATATTTGTAAATCTTACTTCTCTCACTGTTTGTTGGTTCTGTTTTTCCAGACAGGGTTTCTTTGTATGGCCCTTGTAGTTCTGAAACTCACTGAATAGACCAGGCTGGACTGGAACTCACAGAGATCTGCCTGTCTCTGCCTCCCAAGTGCTGGGATTAAAGGTGTGCACCGCCACTATCTGGCTTCTGTTACTATGATGAGCATGATTTTGTATCTAATCTCTTCACTGAGTTGCCTTTTGGTTTTTGTTTTGTTTTTCATCATATTCTAGCTACAGAATCATGTCTTCTGGTTTTGTTTTCCTTTTGTGTGTTTGTGTGGGGGTATGCAAATGTCCCAGTGCCTATGTGGAGCTCCTTCCACCATGCAGGTCCTGGGGATTAAAAGCCTTGGTGACAAATGCCTTTACCTGATGAGCCATCACCCTTTAATTGATGAATAGTCACACTTAGTGCTGGGGTGTCCCCCACTATAGCTGTGTATTCACACTTAGTGCTGGGATGTCCCCCACTATAAGCTGTGTATTCACACTTAGTGCTGGGATGTCCCCCACTATAAGCTGTATATTCACACTTAGTGCTGGGATGTCCCCCACTATAGCTGTGTATTCACACTTAGTGCTGGGGTGTCCCCCACTATAGCTGTGTATTCACACTTAGTGCTGAGCCATCTGTTTCTCACATTCCAGACTCCACTTGCCTGTTTTCTTAGGAGCCTCTCCCTCAACAGCATTAATGGGCACTGGACCTTGAAATCCTGACGCAGGTAATCTTGACAGTTTTATTTATCACCACCAAAGGTATTCTGAAGCAGCAGCAGAAGAGGCAAAATTCCCATTAGTCATGCAGAGCTTCAGGCTGCAGTTACAGGCCCCCTGCAGTTTAACAGGATCCCCAGGTGACTGATCCCGCCAAAGGAATAGCCTTTTAGAAACTGTGCCATGGACTTATTTAAAAGGCCTGAGAATGGTGTCATTGGCTGCTGGGTGCTATGAGGTACCTCTGAGGCATCTACCAGCTCCCCAAAAATTCCTTCCGTCCTCTTTGTGACTGTCATGCATTCTGAAGGTCAAGTTCTTGGTTCCAGAACAGCCCTGTGTTCTGGATCTCCACAGGGCTCACTGCTGACTTCCTTATTCCAGTCTCCAGCCCTGGAGGGGGCTTTAGGAGCTGTTGGCTACTAGGAGCAGGGCCCAGAGGGCCAGCCTCTGTGTGTGTGTGTGTGTGTGTGTGTGTGTGAGAGAGAGAGAGAGAGAGAGAGAGAGAGAGAGAGAGAGAGAGAGAGAGAGCTGCCCACGCTTTAAAGTCCGGCTTAGTGCCCTCCTCAGAGAGGGATGGGACCCTGTGACTGTGACAAGAGTCTCCCTCACAGCCTGCTGGACTTGGCCTCGGGGCACATGATGTGAGGACAGCTGTGTGTATCAGTGCACAGGTGTCTCACAGCATCTGGGGTGGCCTGGTTGGAGAGCACTCCCAGTTGACAGCCATCCCTAACAGACCCGTTTGTTTGTTTGTTTGTTTGTTTGTTTGTTTGTTTGTTTTTCAAGACAGGGTTTCTCTGTAACATTTGGAGCTGGTCAGCTACCTATTTTTTTCTTCGAGACAGGGTTTCTCTGTAGTTTTGGAGCCTGTCCTATCCTGGATCTCACTCGGTAGACCAGACTGGCCTTGAACTCCCAGAGATCCACCTGCCTCTGCCTCCTGCCTGCTGGGATTAAAAGCAGTGCCACCATCACCCAGCACCTTTTGTTTATTTTTGAGGCAATCTCACGTAGCCCAGGCTTACCTCCAGCTCTCGGTATAGCCAGAGCTGCCCTTGAACTGTGCCTTCTACTCAAGTTCTGGGATTACAGACACGCACTGCCACGGCCCATCTGTGTAGAGCTAGGGATGGAACACGGGGCTTTGTGCATGCAGGGAACTGAACAAACCATCCTCAACCCTTAGCTGGCCTCGTCCAGTGACTGTAGAAGAGTGAGCAGGAAGCTGGGGCGGGGAAAGGCGGAAATGGAAACATCAGACAGGTAGCCAGCGGAAGCCAGAGGCAGTAAAGAGAAGAGACTTTTAGAAAAGTGAATCTCAGGAAAGGAGGCGTCCTGTGTAAGTGGAGCTGAAATGTGAGCCGCAGACAGACAGCTCGAAGAAGGCTAAGCAATGGAGCTGGGGACTCAGTTGCACTCAGACGATGGACAGAAAGTAGCGGTGTTCTCTGAAGTAGTGACAGGAAGTTCTGTCACTTCTTACTAACTGACCATAGCCTGCCCTGATCTCTCCCCACATGGGCAAGGGTGCAGGAGCAGGCAGGAACTCCCAGGGAGAGAAGCAGAAGTGAGTTCTCCTCTTCGCTCTCCCAGGGAGAGCGCATGCGACTAGAGCCAGATCCCTGAGCTGGGCTGGAGATGGCCACGTCCTCTGGAAGGCTCTGAAGACAGTGGGGACAGTAGTCTTCTGTGTTCTCCAGGAGTGAAGGTGAAGACGGGCATCCCAAGAAGGGCCTGTGTCCCTCAGATGTGGATCCTACCAAAGGCCTCAGTGGGCCACCCGCGTACAGGACTTCTGAGCCCACATCCCCTTTGCCCTGTGTGAGCAACACAAGGAATCATGGTCCACAGAAAGGGCACGGCCTGGCCTGCAAGTCCTGGGCTCAGGGGAGGTAGAGGGCCACCACCACATAGATGACCCAGCTGGTTGACACAAAGACCCCAAAGAGCAGGCTGAAGAGCACGAGCGAGCGGGCCTTCCTCGAAGCCTCCTCAGCCTGTGCCAGGTCACCCCTGCCCAGGGCTGCTCTAGTCTGTAATGAGACAGGTCAAGGTGGGATGCATCAACAGTGATACCCCTCAACCCACCCCAAATCCCACCAGCACAGCTTCAAGACCAGGCCCATGCCACAAGCCAGAACTGCCAGTCTGGGAATCTCAGTACCCACCCCCACAGCTCATTGAGGTGCGGGAATGGTGGCAGAGGTCCCTCAAGCACTAAGGAATGCCCTCAGATTTCTCTCATGCCACTTCATAGCAGCTCTCAAATGGGGCTCATTGCACCCCACTTTGCTGATGGTGGCGTGAAAGTTCAGCAGACTTAAATGACCTCCCTGGGCCACACAGCTGGTGGGGAAGTCAAAACCCACAGTCCCATCTCTGAGCTGCTTGCTCCCCTCAGCCCTGGCTGGTGCTAACCTGATCTGAGACTTCCCCCTCTTCCCAGCAAGGCCAGGCCGTTAGCTGCAAGCACAGCTCCCAACCCAAGGCTTGCCTACCGTCAGACAGAATGTCATGGCACCTTTGTCAGTGAGTCCCCCGGGCCTGAGCCAGAGCCAGGCACGTGGACAGTAATGGAGGGAAAAGCAGGAGGGGCGGGGAGAGACACTAGTGAGAGAGCATGGCTAGAGACG